AGCACGGCGGACCATGGTGTTCTTTCCCATGAGAACGACACCCTCGCCGCGGAGCGACTGGCGGATCTCGTGCATCTGCTGGGACGAGACATTGTCGACGGTGACGATGAAGATGCTCTTGTACTCCTTGAGCAGCTGCTCGAGCTTCTCGAAGTAAGCGGCCTTAGTTTCTTTCTTGCCCCCCATTGTGTTCTGCGACCCAAAGGGATGTTTAAGGTCTTAGTTTGGTGGTGTTGATGGTTTGAGGAAGAGGGAAAGTTCGGCCGGCGAAAATCGAGGTTGTCTGCTGTGGGTGGCCCCTGCTCGCCTAACGCGCTAGCGCATTTGGGGCCTCACAGAAAAGTACCATCAACTCCACGAGGCCGTGTCTAACGCAGACATCATGACTGTTCCGTACCAGTGCATTATAGCGCGAAGCTCTGAGTCTTCAGATGACTGGACCGTATTTGCTGCGAGCGGCTCCAAGATTGTAGTTCAATCCAGTCGCGGGTCAGTGACGACATGGCCACAGCAAGACGCCCAAACTGAAGTGAGTGATGGCGTATTTCTTGTGATTTGTCGATGTTGCGGTGTTCGAATTGGTGGTCGAAGTAAGTGCGCATCGCTAATATGAACAGGATCAGCAGGAGGGCGACTCCGAAGAGCGACCAGGAAAACGCATCAAATTGGAACAACCGAAAGAGCAAAAGTCAAATTTTGCCAGTCTTATCCTTTCAAATGATGGACAATACTTGGTTGGCATCACTGGAGAAGACAAATGCGTTCGCGTCTTTCAGATCGATGCTCAGAACCAGCTGCACCAGTTGAGCGAAAGGTAAGAGCCGCACGATGTCCGAGAATTCGAAAATTGACATGATCAAGGTGCATGTCAAGACGGCCTTGCTCGATCACTCTCACGTCTGACGATGCAACCATATTGTGTGCAGACAAATTTGGCGATGTTTATGCCTTACCACTTCTCCCCTCGCCTGATGACGACAAGATAGAAGAGCTGCCCGAAGCACCAGCAACCGAAGAGCCAGATGAGAAAGAATGGATCCCATCCGCTACTACTCTCACCGTTCACTCTGGCAGAAATCGAAAGACTCTTGAGGAGCAGCTTAAACGGAAAGCGAAAGGCCCGGCGAAGCCCAAGGAGACTATGCGATTCAAGCACGAGCTGCTCCTAGGCCACGTTTCTATGCTCACAGATGTCGTCTATGCTCAGGTAGACAGACGGGGCTATATCATGACAGCAGACCGGGACGAGCACATCAGAATATCACGAGGCCCACCGCAAGCGCATATCATAGAGGGATTCTGCTTCGGCCACGAAGCGTTTGTGAGCAGGCTTTGCCTCACACAGTCTGGCCTACTTGTGTCTGGCGGTGGCGACGATCACTTGTTTGTATGGGATTGGCAGAACTACCTCTTGAAGGAAAAGCTGGTCATCCGTGATCTTGCCTTCACTCATCTCCAGGAGCGTGGCATGATCCCAGCAGGAGTAGATGTGGCAACGTACAAGGTTGCGGTTTCTGGAATATGGAATTTACCAAGCAAGGACGGTGTAAGTATTATGAAGACTTTGACTTTGTTTATGCATCATCTGATTCTTGATAGGCCGAGATAGTTGTTGTGGCATGCGAGGGGGTACCAGCGTTGTTCAGCTTCGGACTAGGTGCATCCATACCAGGCTATGCCATTCCACTGGACGGCAACGCGCTGGGCCTTGCCATCATCCGCACGTCTACTGGTCCTTTGAAGTTGGCTGTGTCGATAGACAACACCCAGAAGCCAGGCTCAACGTCCGAAGTTCGGGATGACAAGGTGAGCTTCCTGCTCAGAAGTACTTCATGTTATAGCTAACATATCAAACAGGCACCAAGGCTGCAATACTTCGCAAGACAGCAAGACGATACATGGCACGCTGATGCAGAGCTCGCAGAGACAATGAAGAGTTTCGAGCAAGGTGGTGACGACCGACTTGCAGATGACAAAGCAGTCCGGGATATGCTCTACAATGTGGAGAACCTCAGGAAGCGTCCAGGCGCGGAGGATTAGATAGCAGCGTTAGACGCCCACAATGGACTTGTAGTGCTCACTCCCAAGCGCGGGGCCGATATACAAAGACAGAAAGTGAAGCGCGACGCGTGCGACTCCAGAACGTGCATGAACTGTAATCATCCAAACAGTCGCCCCCAGACTACGCCTCAGCACCGGACGAAGTCGCGACATTTCGGACGGGGCTCCTGGTGAACTTTGCCGAGGCTCGTGATGCAGAAGTCGCCTCGAGTCAAGCATGTCAGCACCGGACATTGAACGCGAGATGGGCAAGATGGGTGGGCTGCGTGGAACGTGGGTCTAGTACAGGTCGATTTCTAAGAATGACAGCCCGGCCGGCGATGGCGTAGATCGACAGCAAGCAGCCGACTTTTTTCTTTCCAAGCAGAAATCTCCCAACGTCTGACATGTGTCGCATTTGCAAATAAGGTGTGTTTGCTCTCTTGCTTTCTACGTCCCAACGTGCTGCCCTCATTTTGATACCGCATTGCATATATATTGACTGCGACGCATAGTTGAGCACGATCTGCATCTCGAAAACCCCACCACGCCTCGGCTCGCCGTCATCCCCCAAATATCGCGGAACCTCCGAAGCTAGAAGACGACGCCCACTAATCGCAAACCCGCTGCGGCAACGTCAAAAGCGTTTTTCCAGCTCCTTCTCCGTCACCTGGTCTCTCCCACTTAAGGCACCATCTGCACCGCTCGCACTCCGTTGCTAAACCTCCACATCGCATCCCACCATCCACACACGACCCACACGCCCGCAACCACATCTTGCACGCGACACGCGAAACTTTCGCACACGCCGCCAAAGTGTTCGCATCAATCTTCCGAAGGGCCTCCTCCCCCCGCAATCTATCCTTATTCTCCGTCCCCATCGCTGCCGCGGCATCGCATAATCAGCGCGTCTCACCTGTAGCGGGGCTTTCGACTGCTTCAACCTTTGCAAAAGTACAGTCGCGAAACATGCATTCAAAACTAGTCAGTAAGTGGCATCTTGGAAATTTCTGGCATGGATAGTGCTAACAACATGCAGTTATTGGGTATGTTCTGCGATCAATGGCGCGACAGAGTCGATTTCGAGAATAATGCTAACATACGCAGCTCGGGGCCAGCAGGCCACACCGCAGCTATCTATGCCGCACGAGCGGATCTGAACCGTAAGGCACCGCCTCGCAATCATATCGACGACATGCTAATTGTTTGCAGCCGTCATGTACGAGGGTTTCATGGCTCTCGGCATCGCCGCAGGTGGTCAATTGACCACAACAGACGAAGTCGAGAACTTCCCCGGTTTCGTCAAGATCGGAGGCGGCAAGCTTATGGTCAGTAACGCCACGCGATAGCCATGCGCCAACGTTTACTAACAAAACACAGGAGCAAATGCGCGAACAATCCGAAGCCTGCGGCACCGAAATCATCTCCCAGACCGTCGCAAAGGTCGACCTGAAAGCGCGCCCCTTCAAGTACTGGTTACACCCCATGGGCGACGAGGAGGAGATTGAGGAGGAGATACACACTGCCGATGCTTTGATCATCGCGACCGGCGCAAAGGCCAGGAGATTAGATCTCAAGGGCGAAGACAAGTACTGGGGCAACGGTGTATCCGCATGCGCTGTATGCGACGGTTCCCTTCCCATGTTCCGCGACCAGCCATTGGTCGTAATCGGAGGCGGTGACTCGGCAGTAGAGGAGGCTCTATACCTCACGAAGAAGGCGTCAAAGGTTACCGTACTCGTACGAAGGGACCAGCTCCGCGCGAGCCGAACGAACGCCCGCCGGTTGACAACGCACCCCAAGATCGAGATCATGTACAACACCAGCGCAAGCGAGATCAAGGGCGAGGACAAGAAGAACGGTCTGATGACACAACTAGTGGTCAAGAACAACGTCACAAAGGAGGAGCAGACCCTCGACGCAAAGGGTCTCTTCTACGCCGTCGGCCACGACCCCGCCACCGAGCTGTTTAAGGGTCAGCTCGACATGGACGAGGACGGCTACCTGATCACCAAGCCCGGAGAGGGTCTCACAAGCGTCGAAGGTGTCTTCGCAGCCGGTGATGTCCAGGACAAGCGGTACCGCCAGGCCATCACCAGTGCAGGATCCGGCTGTGTTGCCGCTCTCGAGGCGGAGAAGTGGCTCGCCGAGCAAGACGACAGCGTCGGCAACGAGCTCGAGACGGAGAACCAGGCTGAGAAGTCGCAAACAAACGGCGTCGTCCCCGAGTACCGCTCCAACCCTCTTCTATAGATGAAACACGCACCACAACATCACCATCACAAACTTGGACCATATTTGGACCATTTCTGGAATAACTCGCATGAAAGGGCATGGGCGTCTCATTGTTTAGCGCATATATGGGAGGCACGGGCACCATGTATATACCTTCGGCAAAAGGCGGTGCATTTGATATAGAATCTTGAGCGGTTGATTTAGGGTTTTAGATAGAGCACACACCTGGCAATGAATGTCTTTCAACTGATGTGCATTGACTGAGCACCTTGTATTCCGACTGACAATCCTCCAACATGACCACTCTGGCGCTGACAACACCTTACATGATGGAACAGCGCATTAGGTGCATCCTCGATGAAGTGCACATCGGAAAGCTAGACGACCGCATCAATCGCCGCGGAGAAGGCGACGCGATCTCACGTCCAGCGAGACGCTGTGAGACTTCCGATTGCGGTGGATGGTGAGCAAGGTAGATAGCGCCTAGGTTGATGAGCATCAACGACCAAGGCCACTGGCTTTGAGGAGGTTGAGCGCACTCTCGAAGGCTTTGACTACATTGATGTCTGCGGCATATTAGTCGAAAAGCAGGAAAGGAAGTAAAGGCTATCATACAATGATTCCGCTTTTGCTCCAATTCCGCTTCCTCGTGCTGAACATATGTAGAGCGTGTGCGAAGCCTGAGGCACGTTGTTAGTAGGTCACGCGGCTTTCAGAAGGCATGTTTACCTTGCGTAGGTCCGCTCGGTCTCGTGCTCATTCCCTGACGAAGCCCAGATGCGGAAGTACTAACAACTTCATCAGTAACTCGGGCAGAAGTAGAGAAGTGGCAGCTGTACATTCATGAGATTATCCCACTCTTGCATTAGTAGGTCCTCCTGATTGTGGCATGTCTTCATGGCATCGTGGTACCGCGCCTCTAGGTCTTCCCAATCAAAATCGACAATTTTTTCTGCGGGGTCACTCTCTTCATCTTCTGACTGTTGCTCAGCGGCTGCATTTGCTTCGTCGTCGACCTCGTCTTTCGTGCGCTGTGCTGAAGATGGCCGCTCTGTCTCATCTGAGTGCATGCGTCTCATTGGCGGTCGTACAATCTGAGCCTCTTGACTGGGTGGTGGCTCCGATTTGGCAGCCGGGGCAGTATCCATTGCGGTGGTATTTGTTAACTGGGTCAGTAGTGGAGGAGAAGAGGGGTATGTCGACGAGATGTGAGAGGGGAGGGATGATTCGGGTTCGTGGTCGGGAGTCCTGCTCATTTGCGATGCCTTTGGTCAGTGCTATAGGTAAGTAGAGTGATCGCGAGCGCGTCTCATCGTCATCAGAAAAATATTCGACGCGAAATATCAGTTCTATCAGATCGAACGCAGTACTCGAAAAGGTAGATTGAGGTTCACTCACGCATACCACGTGCGTTAGCGCGATCCGAATTGGTCAGTCGCGGCATGACGTTGGAAGGAGCGTCTGACTCGCGAAATCGCGCCTCTGCCTGAGTACCGCCTCCATCACACAACCTCTTCAACCACCAGCCTCTGGATGCCTTGCTTATGCTTCACGACAGAGGAGAGCGCTAACATTCACGGAGCCTAGACATTCACCGGAAACCCCACTGACGGATCCCATGGCTACATAGGCTCTCGCCAACCGCCTCGACGAATCACTCCCACCATGGTCTCGCTGCACCTTCCAGACCTACCACTCCACGGCATCTCTGCAGGCGACATCACATAACATAACCCCTATTCATCATGGAGTGCGACATCTGCGGGAGAGACGGCAGCCTGAGCCAGCCTCTCCACTGCATGACCTGCGCGCGCTCATACCTCGAACAGCCCCGCATCCAACTCGCAAAGACGCTGATAGACCGCGATGCCGTCGCGAAACACGTCACAGCTATCATAAACGGCTCGGAAGACAAGGCCATCCAGCATGTTTCTCTCACCGACTCGAAAGGCGGGCTCTTGGTCGACAGACAAGAGTGTACGAACAATCTGAACTGGGAGCGGACGAAGGCAGAAACGGCAGAGATACAGGACCGACTAGGCATGATATCAGAGCATGCCGACCAGCTCCGACGGCAGATGGAGGATACCAGGAAGCAGCTTGAAGCGAAGCGAGCGGCGAACGCGCAACGCAAGTCAGACCTCTCGTCCGCCACATACGGCATCGAATCGCGGCGGGCGAACGAGTTGGACAAGGTGCAGCAGAGGGTCAAGCGATCGGACTACAACGCGGACAAGATGCACCACGATACCATAGATCTGCGCATGCAGCTGTGCACGACTGCTGCGAGGCTCGCGGGACTCAAGATGCAGCGGCGAAAGACAAGGGACGGCGGTATCAAAGAAGTCTACAATATCGGGCCTGGCACGCGTTTGCGGATATACGATCTTCGAGATCTGAATGGTATGTCTAGGCTATAGCTGTCGAGGCGATATGCTAATTTTGAAACAGATGTGACGCCTGACGGCCTATCTGCCTCACTGGCTGCCGTGGCCCAGCTCGTCGTTCGAGTCGCTGCTTACCTGGGCATCCGTCTCCCAGCCGAAATCACACTCCCCCATGCCGATTACCCTCAACCTACAATCTTCAGTCCAGCATCCTCTTACCAGGGCAAGAAAGTACCTTTCCCTGGCTCGACACCCTCACATTCGTCCAGCGCCAGTCCGGAAGCGTCTCGGACGCTTGAGACGCGTATCCATCTTCCGAAGCCGCGCGCGTTATTCGTCGACCGCCCTCTGAGTCACCTCTGCGCCGAAGATCCTCCTGCATACTCGTCCTTCATTGAAGGCGTGTCTCTGCTTGCGTACAATGTGGCTTGGTTATGTCGAACCCAGGGCATGAAAGACAGCTTTAAACAGTGGGAGGATACTTGTTCGATCGGTCGCAATCTGTTCCGACTATTGATCACGCAAGAAACATACAACCCCCAACGCCTCGAGAATCCATTGGACAAAGATATCACCACTTCCAGGTCTTCCAGATCGATCCTCCGCAAGTCACCTGTGGGCTTTGGGCAGCTTTCGCACGCTACTTCACATTCCTTCCTAGGCATGGCCGAGAACGCACAGTACATCAGCGGATGGGGCTTGTCGCCAACTAAGATTATCGACGAGCTGAGGGGATATCTGTTGGCTGAGCAGCAGGCGCAAGAATGGGACGTGTTGAACCAGAAAGAATGGGAAGACATGGAGAACTTGATCGCGGAAGACCCTATTCTTGTTGGTGAGAAACGGCGAGGTAACACCGGCCTCGACGATGGGCGTAGCTACCTCGCGTCGACTACGAGGAACGGAAAGTCTTCACCATCACAGACGGGACATGTCTCCCATAGCGAGCAGACAGCGCGAAAGAAAGGCATAAGTGGATATGTGAAGCTTAAGAGCCGGCCAGAGGAGGATGCATACTAAGCATCACCATTATACCCCCAAGATACCCATAGACGTTTGCGCCCTTCATAGACCTCTCTCCACTTCAATCAGATTACGATGCAAATCACTTGCCATTGAGCGCCAACGTCAAATTGTGCTTACGTATCCAAAAACTCTATAAAGCATCTCGCCCGAACAACCTGCTGGACTTGGTAGCACTCGCAGCGCGATGTGTAATCGAAAAGCTGCCAAGGCCGTCACAAGGCGGGTCGGAGAATACTATGACACCATCTCCGCTTGCTCACGAAACCAACGCGCGCTTTGGGCCGAGCTGTGTATGCCACGGTTTGAGCAAACGCCGCCTGATTAATCTGCTGCTGAGAAATGTCAGACGTCCAACGCGGCCTGTTGGGTATAAGATGGCAGGAGCCATGGAGATGGTTCTCCCTTGCTTTCCATCTCCACTTTGACAGGAAATTCTGCAAGAAAGAATTATTCTGCATTCGCGCCATCACGGTCAACCGCACATGCACCACCGATAGAAAGCGCGCTAGGATTTGTCGCTAGAACAATAATTTACCTATAGGCGTCAACACCTCGGAGGGCCTGGAATTTAGAAAGAAGTTTGTCCTCTCGCTGCATTTTGAGGTTCAAGTTCCTTCGTACCACCACGTCAACTCCGCCCGCCGTTCAAAGAGTACTCAGAAGATCAAGATGACGCTCCCCGACCACCCCATCGACACCCCGCCACGCGCGCCGTCACCAGTCCACGGATTCGGCACCCTCGCCGTGCATGCCGGAAGCCCTCATGACCCCGTCACCGGAGCCGTCATCGAAGCCGTAAGCATTGCACGCGCAAAGTCTCACAGACCCATGGCTAACCCAATCAGATTTCTCTGTCGACAACATTCGCGCAAACCGCCGTTGGAAAGCCCATAGGCGAGTATGAGTACTCGCGCTCCTCGAACCCAAACCGGTACGCATGCGCAACACCACCCACATGTCTGAAACTAATGCGCCTGCAGAGACAACTTCGAAAAGGCAGTCGCAGCCCTTGAACACGCCCGCTATGCGCTCGCATTCTCGTCCGGATCCGCCACCACAGCCAACATCCTGCAATCGCTCGCCGCAGGCTCACACGTCGTATCCGTCTCAGACGTCTACGGCGGAACGCACCGCTACTTCACCAAGGTCGCCCTGACGCACGATGTCAAAGTCACCTTCAGCCCGAGCATCGAGATCGACATCGCCGAGCTCATCCGCCCCAACACGAAGCTCATCTGGATCGAGTCGCCGTCGAACCCTACGCTGACGCTTGTGGACATCCGCAAGATCTCCACGATTGCGCATCAGCATGGCATCATGGTGGTTGTCGACAACACCTTCATGAGCCCGTACGTTCAGAACCCGCTGGACCACGGCGCGGATATCGTGGTGCACTCCGTCACCAAGTACATCAACGGCCACTCTGACGTCGTTATGGGCGCCGCGGCCTTCAACTCCGACGAGCTATACGAGCGTCTTTCTTTCCTGCAGAACGCCATCGGTGCGGTCCCGTCTGCCTTTGACTGCTGGCTCGCACACCGCGGTCTCAAGACCCTGCATCTCCGCGCGAGGGAAGCTACCAAGAACGCTACGGGCGTCGCAAAGGCTCTCGAGGCCTCATCACACGTCGTTTCCGTCAACTACCCCGGTCTTCCCTCCCACCCACAACACCACATTGCGCTGAAGCAGCACCGTGACGGAATGGGTGGCGGCATGCTTTCCTTCCGTATCCAGGGCGGTCACGCAGCTGCCGAGCGCTTCTGTCAAGCGACCAAGATCTTCACACTGGCTGAGTCGCTGGGTGGAGTCGAGTCGCTCGTCGAGGTACCCAGCGCCATGACACACGGTGGTATCCCCAAGGAGCAGCGCGAGGCAGCGGGTGTCTTTGACGATCTCGTCCGCATCAGCTGTGGTGTTGAGGATGAGGCGGATCTTGTTGCCGATGTTAAGCGTGCGCTTGAAGAGGCGGTTGTTGGTCCTAAGATTACGAACGGAAAGGTCTCCAACAATGCTGCGCCGGCTGCTCAGTAAATCTTACTCTGAGTGCCGTGGAGTTGTACCAGGTGGAGAAAAGTAGCTTTTATGAGCACATATGGATAGATGGCGTTTTTGTTCGGTATGGGCTTATGACCCTTATGATGGATATGATATCAGAGATACTCTCAATCGAAAAGTGTGGTGTCGTAGTAAGACACGGAATTATCGAGGTTGTCTATCTTTGTGTATCTGTACTTTCCAAAGGCAAATTGCGCAAGCTTTGACTGGTTTGTCGTCCGCCCATGGTTACCACAGAACCAGGGTAAGGGAGTCAAAGTATGGCTGCGGCCAAGTGGTGAGTCAAAGGAGAGTATATCTTGTAACTGATGTCCATCTCTATTTTTTGCACGACAGTCAATCCCAGCCCAGACGAAGTGATCGTAACAGCAAGGATCAGTACCCTCAAAGCCATGTTTCCTCCCCCAATCTCACTTGAAGAAGTGCGCTGCCTGTTCCAGCAGCTTTTGGCACGCAACCACGACAGCCCGAATATTCACGCACACCCCGTATTCATCTCCTTCGATATCGCACACGGAAACCCCAAACGCTTCAGCGCTATCGGCGCATCCACACTCGACACGAGGAGTCTCACAACTTCACACTTCTCAACACCGATGCACCATACTCACCCGCCCCTCCACACAGAGACTTTCGACTTCCGGTACGGTCGAGTAGGCGTAAATAGAAAGCAAGTGCAGGCCTTGTTCCATGGCCAAGTGCACCAAGTGCGATGGAGCGAGCGCGCTGCCGTCCTCAACCACATCTTTTCTCACTGCGTCAATGGAGACAGGGAGCCGTGCTGTAATGCGCGCAAGCTACCTCTCTATGACTTATCGAAAGTCAATGACTTAAACGAACAGCGGCTGCCGATTATCCTTGTTGGCCACGACATCCCTTCGGATCTTCTCTCGTTGAACAAGGCGGGTATCAACATAACTGACATAGCCACCGTGACCGCGATCATCGACACGCAGAAGCTTGCTCGCGAGATGTACAAGGCTGACGATCCTGGATGGAATGTATCGCTCCGAACGCTATGTCGCCTGGTCGGTATGATACCCTCAAGGTTGCACGATTGCGGGAACGATGCTGCGTGGACGCTACTTGTGCTTTTCAGTCTCGCTGCGAAGCTGATTAGCGAGGATGACGCAGGGAGAGAAATACTAGAGGAGGTTGTAAGAGAAGGTACACGCGATAGTAAGACTAGGAAGCAAAGGGACAAGGGAAGTAGAGTGAAGAATAAAGAAGATCAGGTGGACTGGGCGGACAATCTCGTTGTTGAAGTCCCTTGAGTTGCACTGCGCAGCAAGCTTATTGTACAGTCCGTCTGATATTTGGCGCGGGTTTGGCGTCTATACTGTTGCTGCGCATGGGGGTGGTGTTTTCGTCTTGGGTCACTTCTCTAAAGCTGGGTTGTTTGGGTCCGTTGAACGTGGCTTCCTCATGAGCACGACTTCCTCTAGAGGGCGACTTCCTTTCTTCACGACCGAGTTCGCCACACGTCAGCGGCTTCTTCATGCGGATACACCCAAATCACAGACCGAAGGGTAAAAGATGCCAGCGACCACCTCACTCATCTGCCCGTAGGGTAAATAATGCTCGGTGTTCTCCATTCTTTCACCAATGGTACGACTGGCGTATGTGGCGGTCACTATTAGACTGTGCACCAGCTTCTTGAAGGACAGGAGAAGACTGTCTAGGTAGGAGCTATTTACTTGTAAAGTTCCAAGAATATACAGCAAATGCGACACGAGTTATAGAAACATTGGGTGCCTCGTCTCATTCGGCATCGTCGCAATAAGTTTCAGACCGCCTGGGAAACGCTCCGGATGCGGAGGTGCTAAACAAAGGAGGGCTTCGAAGTCCAACGCAAATGAAGGATCCGGTGCCAAGGAGCTGCCAAGATAGCTTAACCGCCAACGTCTTCGCACGGCTCGTTAGCGTAAGGTACATGCACGTGCATAATCACTGTGCCACCCAACTCACTATATGCATTCTTCCGTTTGTACCCTGATCCTCCTTTGATATTTTCCCGCCATGACGTTCCTTCTCCATATCTCCGATACTGCAGCACTCTCAACTCCATCTCGCCATTACCCTCCTGCCATCCATGCTTGGCATCAGCATGCACATTGCCTTACTCCTCGCCGCCTGCATGGGAGCTGCCAACGCTGCCCGCGGCGCGATGGAGCTGGATCTTATCTTCCCTCGTAATGAGACTTATGCTCCTACAGAAATCTTTCCAGTCATAATCGCTATCCAGAATACCGAGCTAGCGCCATTCCTGAATCCGCAGATGACCATCGAATTCCTCGACCTGGATAGCCAGGTCCACAGCTACCCCACCTTTTATGACCTGAGATGGGCCAACTACTCCAGCAGCGACCCTTATCGAGAGCTGAAAGTCTTCACCAGCTTCAACAAAGAGGGCAGGTGGAGGATCGCATGGCAAGTGAGATGGAATACCTGTACCGAGGACTCTCTTGCCTTCCTCGGCGGTGGTATCACCGGCAATGGGACGAGTCGCATCACAATGTTTACTATCAACAATTCCGGAAAAGTCGTGGATCCTGTGCCCGCTACGACGAATCATAATTGCACAAACAGCAAAGCGATTGTTATCAACGTAGACGATACTCTGGCGGTCCCTGATTTCATCACCTGGGAGGATTATGATGGAACGACTTGTGCATCTATGGCATCCACCACTCCAGCTCCAACTCCTTGCCAGGTCAAGTTCGACTCAGCCGCAGCTGCCGATATTTCCTCGTCTATGACTTCTCTTCACTGCAAGCAGACGCGAGAGCCTGGGTCTTCTTGCCCCACTGATGACAAGAGTGCGGCTCAGCAGCTTGTCGGTGCAGGATTGGCGAGCTTAGCGGCCACATTTGGGGCTTTGGGTTACATGATAGTATGAGGACCTACATGGTTACATGATCATCGAAACACGTTCGTTCATTCCAATGAACTTGGCATTGCACCTTTAGGATCATCGATCAACCGAGTTTCGTATATCTTTTATCATCATGTGACAGATATCAAACCTGAAAGAGTTGATTGCGTGAAGAGTAGCACTGCACGACTATTTGGTCAGGGCCTCCCAGCCACATGGCTTCTCATCAAATCCCTTACGCGATTGCAACTTGCCTATGTCAGCTTCTGCTTCCTCTTGACCTCTATGACCTCCAGACCCATCCTACCAGTCGCCTCCCTTAGATACACTCCAATGACATCGAGATTTATTGGCGGTGAGTGGAACGCGTAAGGGTAGATGGTCACCTTTTGCAGCGAGGTCAGCCTATCGAGGTGCAATCGTGGGCTGTCGCTCGCATGATGCTCGGCACGCATCTCAATCTCTTCCACAAGCTCCCCCGTCATATCGATAGACTTGACCGCGTTGAGTTGCCCCGCAGTGAGACTACTAGTAAATTCGATGAGTGAGGTGTCAAGCTCGAATTGGAATGTGTTGAGCGCGAAATACATCATTGAGGCCTCGCTGTGGACTTGACGACATGTATATAGCAGCGCTAGCATTCTCCGTGTGTTTTCTCTAGGGACAGAGTTTCCGTGCTCATCCTCCAGAGCGGGTATATCGACGTATACGGGGAGGTGATAATGCAGAACGAACTTGTAGATCCGGTTTCGAAGCTCCCCCGGGAGTTGAAGAAGGGGCGAGTTGTCATGGTTGAGTTGGGTGCTAGTCTGGAGTTAGCTTTGATCGAGAAATGGCAATCGGAGAAAACTTACATGCGATCGTAGTCCGACATATTGTTGGTGATACTCTCGGCGACGGCTAGCCTTGGGACTGATCGTTGGGCTTGTTTACAAAGCCTCAAGTTCAGCGGGAAGGTATCCTCCACCTGTCGAGACCTTTTGTACACTTATCGAGCGAGCGATCTCGAATGGTGGAGTCAACTCCTGCGTACCGCAATTGTACACTACAAGGTGACAATTAGAGATAGCGAGATCTTCAACGAAACTATACTGGTCCCTAGCGTGGGAGTGGGGATATAAATAGCGGGGGAGGGTATTAGAGGGCTTGACTCAGTGACCAAGAAGAAGTGCTCCGTGCACAGGCAAAACACCTATTCACTGAAATGTCATTCATCGATATAAGATAACATGTTCACTAGCCTGGGAAGAATGCGACGCAAGGAACTACTCTTCTTGGCTGACCCCTAGAATTTTCAGATGCGGTACGGAAGGACCATGCCTAGACTTTGTTCCCATGATCGAAACCTTGGAAACTATCTTCAGCAGGGGCTTGTCAGCGCCGCACTATCTACATTTTGATTAGAGTCTAAAAAACTAATTCTAGAATAGCAACGCGATTTAGAGGGGTAGGTACAGCGTCGAGATGATCACATCAAGTCATGGTCATTTGAGGTAGGTTCATCAAACTTTTGTAGTGCCTATACTAATGCTAGTATAAGATCGCACTCTGAAATCACTTTTTGACTTAGAACCCGCATCATGACCATGCAACCTGGACGTTCCTATCTTCCAGTTGCGGTGACTTCCATATGCTCAGCCACGTACTTGTTATTCTGCTCCACGAACCTGGCCGTTGTGACACCCAGCCCCCATTCCATTGTTCCAACTCTCTAGGTCTGTCATATCGCCACGTGGTTACTTCATGCTCTTCAAGCCGATAGTTTTCTCTTCTTCTGTCTCAACTCCAACACGTTTGTCCCTCCTATCTTCTGGACAACCCCATCGCCGCTCTGCAAGGCCATCATCTCCATTGTTTCCCACTCTTTCTTGATCTCTTCGGCAGCGATATGTTGCTGCAAGACCTCCACCTTGGCTTCAGATTGTTGCAACTCTATCGCCAGTTGCTCGCGTTCCCGCCGGTCAATTCTCCGTAGAACGTCCTTCATGGCAAAACCACCGGGCCCTGTCGCTTTGAGCGCCTCCCTCCGCTCATCTATCGTGTAGTCGTCGAATCCCGGCATGAGGTGTCCATCATGGCTCGTCTTGAGTTTCTTCTTGACTGGCAGTGGCATGTCTTTAGGTTCAACGGGGCGAATCTTCCATTCCGGATCGAGTTTCCTCCACGCCTCTAGCTCTTCTTTTGTGATGTGCGGAGCATGTTTCAAATTGCCCTGCTGGTCGTAGTTCCATGTGTAAATGGCAAAGCGCCGCTCGGGTTTCGTTACGACACGTTGGATGATCTCGTCTGCTCCCTCTTCGAGCATTTGAACTTGTGACTGGGCAGTAAGAGCCCTTGCCAAGGATCCCCCACTTCGTGTTGAAGTGACTCTATCATTGGCCTGTGCCCATGTTAACGGGTTCTTATGATCATGAAAAAAGTAATCATATTTGTCTTCCGCTAAGACGACTGTGTGTAGGTCCGGGAGCTCGGAGAAGTCGGGGATGTACTCCTCCGACTTTGTTGGAGGGGTTGACATGGTAGGCGCGGGGGCCAGATCGCCGGTAGGTGTTGTTAAGAATGGATCCATGGATCAGATTTGGCTTGGAGGTGAGAAGGGAGGATGGTTGATCAACGTGAAGTGTTGCTTGGGGGGAATTATGTTCAGATTGGTAGGAAGAAGAGTAGTGGAGGATGTAGGATTATCGATGGCCGGCTTTTATACAAGAGACTAGCAGCCGTAGAAGGGCTCGGGTGAGAGTCGCGTGGGTGAGAGAGCGAACCTAGGGGGACTGTGGATCTAGCATCCCCCACGTTCTCGGGCAAGTACATCGAACGCAAGAGCGGCATCAGATGGCCCTTGTCAAAGCTATTCTTGTTGCCTCATTAGGCATCTGGGTGAGCAAGTTGGCAAACCAATACCCATGTCTCAACAAGCTTCGACGACTGCTTCAAGGTCTGTGGTGCAACAAAGAGTTGAGTGTATGCCGTATCGGATAAGATGTACTGTGACGATTGATCCATCGCCAGTGTATGTGTCTGATCTTCCAGCATGTTCCACTCGTTGGAGTTCTGTATGGCGTCCAGTGCTTATATGATGAACATGCTGGTGCAGAAACTGCGGGCGCAACACGCTGGAGTGGCTCTATCCATGATACTGCATGCCAATTACATAGAGTTACAGCTTCATTGGGTATGCTTCAGACTATGAGCAGGTTGTTAAGCAGTCCAAGTGTAACTTCCTCATGAAGTGTAGCCGCGTGTATGCAGCAAACTACAATATGAAGTCTACGGTCACTCACAATCTTCCTTTCGCAACCTCTTCACTGTCATGCAGTCACTTGACATTCTTCTCCAGCCACTCTTCCCACTGCTCCGCCGTCCACGAACTGCTAATCTCATTGTTCACAACCCCATCGAACACAACTGTAGGAGTGACATGCACACCCGTCAGTCGATTCGCTTTCACTTGCACCTTGACATCGTCCGTAACCCCGTTTCCTGAGTTCAACGCCCCGTCCTTACCCGGCTTGTCGCTTATTTCCAACAGTCCGTAAACCTTGCCTTCATCAACACCCACAGACCCGGCGATCTTGGCCAGTCGCTTGTACGTCGCGTTCCTCGTCTCGTTGACCAGGCTTACGTCGAAGAAGTCTTTCTGCTCTGCAAACAGCTTCTGTGAGAAGTCCCAGAATTTGGAACTGTCGACCTTTTGCACGGCGTAGGCAGCTTCGTGGACGAGGGTGGAGGATGGATGCCACGGTTGGATCTGTTGCCGGAAGATGGTTACGACGCGGTCGGAGTATTTCTCGAGAAGTGTCTTGCGGAGAGGGGTCTCGTAGATTGTTTTGAACATCTTGGCCGAGAAGGGGCACACATAGTCGAGGTCTGGGATTTGACTGTTAGTCTGATGGAGGGCTTGGAATGGGTCGGGAAGTTGTAATCCAGCAGTCGAGGATGGAACACTTACAGATCTCGAGTGTGTGGATGGCCTTGGGCTGAATAGCACTGGAGGCGAGCTTTTGGCCAGCGAATTTGGGTGCGAGAGCCATGGCGATGGTTGATCTAAGGTTGTGCTGGAGGTCCGGTGAAGAGGTGGATGCTCAATTGTTATAGAGCTGTGCTATATATTTGACGGAGATGAACAGATGGTGTGACAATCGGCAGCTTCGGAGTAGATAGAGATGGTACCAGAACACGAATGCTGACATATGAGGATGCCATCGGAGCTTTGGACATGACGAAAGCGGGGCCGGATGTCACGCATGCGAGGACACGGGCCGCTGGCGACCAGCTCTAGTTGCGCCGATCCGACGGCAAGAAATAAGCAGTTTACGTCCAGATGTTCCTATATTTCTTCGTGACCTAATAATGCAGCTGTTGGATCGCACATGTTGTCTGGTTGAGGAGGAAGCGCGGTCAGGGATAGCTCGCCCCTCCCCCACCGCGCTCCACCACAGCTGTCGCGCCAACTCCGCTCACTCCCGAGCCTCGAGCTGCATGCAACACCGCGTCATAAGCCGCGTCCAGTAGGCGCTATAACCTAGACATCCACTGTCCTTCTCCACACATCACCGTAGTGATCGCCCATCATCCAGAGATGCCCGAACCTAGCTCAACAGACGACGACCTTCTTGCCCGCCTCAATGCGCTCAAGACATCCTCCGTCAGCCTAGATACCAACTATAGCGCATCGATAGCACCTGGGAATCCTCCCAAACCCACCGATGACCTCGCCGCTCGCTTCGCACGTCTTGGTAGCGCGTCTCCCTCGGGCTCGCCACAGCCGTCGCGTACAACGTCCACGAACAATGCCGGCGCACCGGTCGCAGCACCAGGGGCACCGAGCTATCTGGAAGGGATAGCCCAAGGCGTAGGAGGCTCGAATGTAGAGTTTAACGAGGAAGATGAAAAGAGCCTAGAAGAGTTACTGGGTGAGCTACACGGCGCCGTCGGCGATCGGAAGGATTGGGATGTGTCCAGGGAAGAACAACAAGATGTTGGAAAGCTTCTAAAAGACATGCGCAAGATACTTCCGGAAGTGGTGAATAATAGGGCACAAGGGCTGCAGAGTGGGCGTACAAGATCTGCGCAGCCATCGAAGGAGGAGTTGACGGACTGGGAGAGCATTGAAATCAATGTTGGAAGTGGGGAGGTTGGTAGAGCCAGGGAAGACACAGAGAGTGGAGATGAGGAAGACGAAGGCAGCAAGAATAGAACTGAGGATGACGAGGCAGACGATGTGATTGCAAGAGTCATGGCAGAACTGGAAATTAGCAAGAAATACGATCCCCCTTCTCCTCCGTCAGAAGACGACAAGTCAGAATCAGGAGACCAGAAGAATGCATCAACGGCAGATACCACAGACAGCGGCTTCACACTGCCTTCCGCACCGAATACCCTCCCCGAAGACGACTTTGCCAGCAGTCAAGCCATCGAAGATGCATTCACCGCACGCCTGGCCGCTCTAGCAGCACCTTCTCCATCACAAACAGATTCTCTCGGCCTGCCTTCCGCCCCATCTTTCGCGCCAAGGAATAAGCCGCCGGTGTCTACCAATTTACAAAAACAGGTCGATGACGAGATTGACACATGGTGTATCATCTGTCAAGACGATGCGACGCTGAAGTGCCTGGGCTGTGACTGTGATTTATATTGCCAGAATTGTTGGATGGAAGGGCACCGAGGGGAGTCTGCTGGGTTCGAGGAGAAGAGACATAAAGCCGTCTTGTATAAAAAGAAGAAGAAACAACAGGCCGCAGCTTGAAAGTCTCAAATCGGACCCGTAATATGCTGTGCTTGTGCGATTGAAGATGGCACCCAAGACAGGCACGGGTGGCACTGCGTAGTGTCTTAAAGTCGATAATGCGAAAACAGGGATACGCCATAGGTTGTGTCCGAAGATTCCTGGACAGCAACACTCGCTCTTGGAGACACATGGAGCCTCTGGGCCGCGCCGAAGAAGAGTGGAAAGGTTTCCTCGAGCACGACGCGAAGAGCTCCTTATACACCCCGCGGGGATGGGCGAACAGGCTTCGCCTTTCAGAAGCTTCGGTCTCCTCGGCGCATGCACCGCGGCACCGAGAATGGAGCACACGGTAGTACGATACCTGAAAGCATGGAGCTGTGTCACTCCAAACATTCCGCCACTCGGTTTTCTCTGAGCTAGCAATGAGGCACTCTTCCGAATATACTTCAAGCCGGCCTATGGGAGTAAGCCTCGCGAAGACAAGACAGCTAGTCATTCTGGCTCGAATGAAGCGCCAATTCCAAGCCAATCAACATTAGTCGCATTCTACAAAGAATAATTGGGGTAGGAGTATACATTATCTTAGTGATTGTCTAGTTGTTAAGGTTTATGAGTATCATACGTATACAGCAAGCTATAACTCGATGCATTACCTACTCAACACTTCTTGGATTCACTGGCGATTGGAAGAAGCGACGTTGTCTGGCCGCACATTCCAGGTTCGTTCTCCAGGGCTCTCCCCTCCACTCAAACAACGCTAGCGGATGTTAGTCTGTGCCACCACCTCCGTCAGTCAGAATCAATACATTGACCACATCTCCTCGACCACACTATCTCTGTTACGAGACCTCGAATTAAACAACACTTCTGCCGATTTCCCCCATCTTCTCGCAACCTTAAAGTGAACTCGAAGCCTTGTGATGGCGAAACCTGGAAGTCGTGGCTCCGCCATGTAACACAACCCCGTCTTGTCTGTCTGTCTGCCAGCTGACCGGCTCTTCCAGTACTTCGCGCAACGCCGACTCGTCACCCCTTTTGCGTCTTCCAGCTGAGCTACGGAATCAAATCTACGGGTGCGCAGATCCCTGCCCATCACAATACAAACGGCCTATGCTAACATCTTGTGTCTCAATTAGATACGTACTAAGCGGCCGTGGTTACAAAGTTCAAGACGACGGGCGCGTCAACGGACATCCGCTCAGTCTACTACTCGCTTGCAGTCAAATCTACCACGAGACTGCCAAGTCACCGTATATCGCACTGAACGTCTTCTCTTTCAACACTCTCCTCGAGTTTCAGACGTTCAAAATGCGACTCTCGCCCTCACAGCTCGACGAAATCCAGACCGTACAGCTCAACGCATGGGAACACACCCTGCCTTGGTACTCGAGTGGGGAGTCTCAAATCATCCGTGGTTCTCTTTATCTGGGCGGGCTGCGCGGATTACGAACTGTTTATGTTGAGGAGCCACTGATATCAAAGAAACAGCAGTGTGATGAGTTTCGAGAGCTTGTGAGGACACTGAAGAATTATTTGGACCGTACGACTAAAACCGTGGTGATAGTACCTAGGAAGCTATGGCTGTCCAGGCCCGAGTAAGGCAAATCATGGCCGTCGTTGATGAGGATGAGAAGAAGAAGTACAATGT